ACCAGTAAAAAAACAGTTTCTGCTTTTGGATCCACTTGGCTGTAACCGTTCCCGAAGTCCCCACTTCTCTACACCCCAGGCAGCTCTGAGGCATATAAAACAATGAAGAAATCTGGCATCCCTTGTTTCCCTAAAGTCTTCACTTCAACCACTAGATGGTGCTGTGCATATAGCTGGAAGGGGGTTTAACACCGCGGATGTCAACTGGTTAAAGGGTAAGTTCACTTTAAACCAAAGTGCATCAACCCTTTTTTGCCCTTTTTCCCTGACCTAACCCACCCGCCCCCTACACGGATGGATACTTGCCTCAATCCGATGACTGCAGCTTTGCTGTTTACATTGAGGCCCGGTTCACATCTGGGCGTTTTGTAGCGCATTCCTACGCTCTGCAAAACGCTCAAACACCGAAATCCCATTATTTCCTATGGGCATGGTTCCCACCTGGGCGTATTACAGGCCGTGTGAACATGCTACAAAACGTCCTACGCCCAAAGAAGTACAGGAGCTTCTTTGGGGCGTTTTTGTTGCGTGTTTCCATTGGGATACAGCCAAGTAGCCCTCGGAAACGTGCGTTTCTCCCGCGTTTTTTTACCACGAAACGCGCGACAAACGCACATATTCGATACGCCTAGGTGTGAACCCAGCTTTAGAGCTGCAAGTCTTCACTGTTCTGGCTGCGCCTTCGCATTAGAGCAGCCCGATAGAATTCTATGGAGCTGTGTCCAAAGGCCAGAGGCGGCTCAATAGAAGTATATGGGGCTGTAATGCGCTGTAAACTGCAAAACTGCAGCCATTGGATCGAAGGAAGTATGTATCTGTGAAAGGTAGGTACACTTTTGTTTTGAAGTGCATTTATCCATGAAGATTTTGGTGCTAGGGAAACCATGCTGGGAATGCAGGAATTCACATGAAAGACCAGGACTCATACTGACAACTAATTGTTCTCTTTGTGGAGGGGGATGGTTTGTATACTGAGGCAGATCTCAGAAAGTGCACATGAATGAGTGCTTTGCCTGTGGTGGGCTATTTTCTCCTCACCCCATAGGATAGCACTGGTGCCTGAGTGGCCAATCGCCAAGCACCAGTGCTGTCACATGGAAGGGCGAGTGACTCACATCCCAGATAGCAAGCAATTGAGCTGCAAGTTTGAAAATGACTTGCTAAAGTATTGCAGACTTGCCAATTCCCGATCTACTGAGCCGACCTGTGACAGTCTCATTGTCACAGGTCGGCTAGAACTATGAGGGGAGTGAAAAGCACTCCCCTCTTAGTTCTTCTTTAACAAGAATTACAATTTAACCCTGCCACAAGTTTGTTTGCAAGGTATCCTTGCTATCTGGGATGCTCCCCATACCTGGTGCTACTGGGTATTTTTTGGAACAGATCAGGAGAGGAGTAAAGGAAATGTGAGAGCATGAAGCTGTTGGGGACCCATTAAAAGTGAACCTGCTGCTTTATCCTTCATGAGCAAAACACAGGTTCTCTTTCAGGTTAAAGCCAGAGCAGCGTTTTATAGTATCAAATATACCTCCAGATGGACAAACAGATTATTTATATGCATTGAATCCATTAATGACACAACAGAGCGGAGAATCACACACCTGCAGTTCGAGATTAAAGGAGCACTATGAGGTTTGTGGTTTTCACTCACCTCATAGTTCTAGCCGACCTGTGACAATGAGACTGTCACAGGTCGGCTCAGTAGATCGGGAGGTGAGCGAACACATACCGGCGTTCGCTCGCCTCTCGATCCTGTCACAGCTCTCTGCCGTGACAGGGGAGGGGCTGGATTCCCCGCTCCGATCCATCAGCGCTAACTGGCGGAACGGACGGGGGAGGGGGCGGGTACAGATGGCTCTGCCTCTAGATAGGCAGAGCCAGCTGTCACTCACACAGCTGGGTGGATCTTGACATCGATGTCGGGATCCGCTGCGGCGTCTCAGTATAACGCGAGCTGTAGCTCGCGGTATACTGAGCCTAGGGTGATGGAAGGACGCTAGTTTGTGTCCTCCCGTTACCCTAAGGAGAACTATGGAGAAAAGCCCTAACCCCATAGTTCTCCTTTAAAGTGAATGGGACTGTCGGTGAGTTAACAGCGGGTCGTGACAGGGGGAGGGGCTGGATTCCCCTCTCCCCGCTCCGATCTGCCAGCGCTGACTGGCGGAACGGACGGGGGAGGGGGCGGGTACAGCTGGCTCTGCCTCTAGATAGGCAGTTCCAGCTGTCACTCACGCAGCTGGGCGGATCCCGTCATCTAAGTCGTGATCCGCTTCTGCGTCTCCGTATACCGCGAGCTGTAGCTCGCGGTATACAGAGCCTAGGGTAACGGGAGGACGCTAGTTTGTGTCCTCCCGTTACCCTAAGGAGAACTATGGGGAAAAACACTGACCCCATAGTTCTCCTTTAAAGAGAACCGGTGTAGCTATAGTCAAATGTCTGTGTCCTCCAGTGGGGAGAATCCCTCAGCGTTGTCACCAGGTTAGTGACTTCAAGGGAATGCATAGATAAAATGCCCAACCCAAACCTTGTGCAAGCGGTTGGAGGATGTGGGACCGGCACAGTGTTGATGACATCGCCCCCATATAACATTGTTCGGTCCTGGGGATTGGCCACTCAGGTCATCCTGGGAAGAGGCCACATGCCCAGAAGCATCGGGTGTTTCTGATGGAGTGGCAGGTGTCAAAGCAGAGTATTAGTGGGTTGGGGTCGGGCCTTTCCAGACAGCCTCTCACTTTGCCCATTTTAAGGGCCAGATCACACCACAGCGTTGCTCTGAAGGCACGGTACCCATCCATTTACTGTACGCTAGGTGTACTAGTACATTGTGCTACCATTCATTCTGTATATCACCCCAACGCACCTCCTGGCAGGTATGCGTTGCAGCGGCACCACAATAGCGGTGAGAACAATAGTGCACGCATCATTTTCTTTCAATGCATGATGTTGCCGTACAGTGCGCTGCTTTGCCATGCAGTAAAAGAAAAAATATGTATAATTGTTTTCACTGCATGGCACAGCAACACATGTCCGCCAGGAGGTGCGTTGGCGTGCTATTCAGAATGAATGGCAATGTACCAGCACACCTGGCTTGCGGGGCATTGCGCTGTGCGATAGCATGTGATAAGCGTGTCGGTACCGTGCCTTTAGTGCAACGCTACGATATGAACTGCCCATGAAGCTCAACACTGGGCACCATTTTTAGATGTAAATATTTACCTCTGTGAAGCTGTAATTCATGTCTGAAAAACAATCCTTTCCTCAGTTCTTTAACACAAAATAAAGAAAAAACTGTATTTGTAAATCATTTGTTACACACTAAGCCCTCATTCACACGTGTAACCGTACTGCCGCTCCCGGGAAGAACAGGTGCTGCGTGTGATTTGTAATCAGCAGCCTGTTCTTCTCTATTGGAGTACGCCGGGGTATGCTCACCTCAACTGCACGGCCATACTCATACGAGCAGGGACCCCTACACGTGCTAGCAGTTTGGGTGAGCGTATAGCGGCAAACTCCCATAGAGAAGAACAGGCTGCTGCGTACAAATCACACGCAGCACCTGTCCTTCCCGGGAGCGGCCCGATACGGCCGTGCACGCAGCACAGATCTGTACGGGCCGGCTGTTACTCGTGTGAATGAGGGCTATACGTGAAATATCGTTTTACGGCTTATTTACATACGTGAAGTGCATTAATATATACACACATTATATTACGGCAGACCAGTCATTTAAATGGGCAGGAAGGTGACCAGGCTGTATTGCTTACCAGCAGCACAAAAAAAAGTCTGGTCGCTGGCTTAGCTTTCTGCAAAGGCTGTACAATTCCCAGGACTGGATGGACAGGCATACAAATCTTTTAACAGGTAAAGGACCTCCTGTATCTGCTTTGTCTGGAGTTCTCATGTAGGCTGCATTGACACTGTTCCGTGTGCAGGCAGTTTGCATGCTAACACACACGTGTAGGTGTGAGCGGTCTCATATAGTTTCCCTTTCACACAAAACTGCAGCACATAGATGTGAACCAGCCCCATAGTAAAGATTGGGATTTCAGTAATGAACCAGGACAATGTAGCCAGGAACTTCATGTGACTTCTCTGCATGTATCCTGGTATTGTAAGTGACAAATAAATCCCTTGTTATACTTGGGAGGTTAACTGGGATTTCTGAATATGCCCAACTTAAGCCAAATCTTTTTTTCTCTACATATGTCCTGGTGGCCATGAAATAAAATCCCAAATTTTGGGTTCTCAACAGAACAGGAATAGATGGGAAATCTTCCAATGGGGGACACTAGTTCTACTGACCATAAGGGATTTCCCTCACTTTGAAGGGATTTTCTCTCAATTCCTGTTGCTGCTATAGGACAGGAAGTAAAGGGAAATCTCCCCAATGGGAGACAGATGGCAAAAAAGGCGGATGGAGGTTACCCTGTCCCAAAAAACTAAAATAAATAAAAAAATTAAAAATAGGATTTTTGTATTCACCGTAAAATAGATTTGTGTGTTTTCATTGAAGGACACAGCAGATATCTTGAATCTCACCATTGGGATGCCACATGTGGTTGAGGGTACGGAGACCTGAAGGACCACATTGGGCATCCCAGTGGTAAGAGATTGAAGATCTGGGCTTCAATGAACACAAGGTGAAAAGTTTTGGCTTCAGTTCTACTTTAAACCCAGGCATTGGACATTTAAAGGGCCATACCACCTGATAACAATCAGTTACTTTTTGGTAGAAAATTTGTTCCACGTTCTTTGGTTCTGATGGTGAGATTTCTGTGCCCCTCCCTCTGGGGTCCCAGCTTTCATCATGGACTATAATATATAATGGAGAATTAAGTATGTGAAGTTAGATCATTTAGAAACACAGACTGTATTTATTGCAGGAGATCCCTAACTCCAATGTGCTCCCCTTATACTTGACCCTCCGATCCCTTCTTCCCGGATCCCGGCTAGTGTCCACTGTCCTGGGAAGGGCCCGGGCTGATCACACCCTCCCCGGGCGGCCTCTTCCATTGGAGGCTGACAGTCGGTGATCGGCTCAGCCTCTTCCTGTCTTATCACATGAGGACAATCCGCCGGAGAGATGTCCGCAGGCTCCCCGCTCCGATCCCCCACCCTTCAACGGAGCAAAATGAAGAAGGACGAGTCCTTCCTGGGAAAGCTGGGGGGAACCCTGGCCAGGAAGAAGAAAGCCAGGGAGGGTGAGTGATGGCCGTCCGGCCAAGCAATCTGTGCTGGGAATGGGTTAATGGAGTCCGTGCTGGTGGGACAGACTAGGAAGGGTTAATGGAATTTGTAGTAGGGGTAGGATGAAAAGGGTTCATGGAATCTTTACTGGTGGGGGGCAGACAGGGAATGGGCATTGTACTCTGTGCTGGGCAGGCTGCAAAGGGTTAAAGGAGCCTGTACAGGAGAGGGGGGGACAGGGAATGGTCAAGGTTCCCTGTACTGGGAAGGGTTAATGGAGTCTGTTCTGGGGTACAGGCTGGAAAGGGTTAATGGAGTCTGTTCTGGGGTACAGGCTGGAAAGTGTTAATGGAGTCTGTTCTGGGGTACAGGCTGGGAATGGGTTAATGGAGTCTGTAGTAGGGGGTACAGGCTGGGAATGGGTTAATGGAGTCTGTTCTGGGGGTTCAGGCTGGGAAGGGTTAGGT